GAATACAGAAGTCTTTCAGAGCAACAATTTACAGCAGATCATGACCCACCTGAGGTAACTCCTTGTGAGCGCACTTTAATCCTCCAATTGCAATGATGTTGGGCATCAAAGGTCTTGGATAGTCTAACACAAAATCTGACCTCATGAGCCAAATGGAAGCCTGACGTAAGAGATCTGGCACAGTCACATCCCGCTGGAGGAACTCAGAAGCCAGTTTTGCATGTGGTTGGAGCATAAAATCACAGAGAAAATAATTTAGGATGCCAAACATTAGATTCTTCACTCGCTGGAGAAAGTTCATGCTATCTGTGAGATCTGTGAACATCCTTGGGACATAAGAAGGGGGACTGGGACATTGAGTGGCTTCAAAATCTAAACCACATGGTATTCCTCGTAAAAAAAACACGGAAGGGACTGAAAGGTACTCAGCCAGTATTGGCCCGCAGGGTAGTACAGGGTCTGTAAGGACAGCGTCAAACTTGGTCTCCTCAAGCTCTCTGACAAGTTCTTTGTTGTACAGTAAGTCTGCACAGCTGGACAATGCCAAATCGGAGACTCTTTTCATACTTTGGTATACTTTAAAAAATCTTTCCAGAAAAGATCCTTCTTCAAGTACATCTTGTAAAAATACCTGGAAATTTTCATCTATCTCATTCTGTTTCAAAGGGACCGGGTACATTTTCATAACAAAATTCTTTGTTGGCTTTATGTATAAAGTTGCCTCAGGTGCAACGACGACTATCTCATGTCCTTTCCGACTGAGACCGTCCAACACTTCGACCCCCATCCACCGGCACCACCAGCAGCTTCCCACCAGCAGCCAAACTGAGCACGGACAGGAGCAGCACCAGTGTTGCTGGGACTTGCAGATGAGTACGAAGCACCAGGGCCATTTCCGCAGAAATCTGGTGAGCGCTGGCCAGAAAGAAAACCACTGATAGTACTGAAGCAAGAGCAGCAGCTCTGCACTTTTAAGCAATCTGTGCTACAGCCCAACTTTTGATCCTTAAGGTGTTTGCTGTCTGGTAAATGTATAATCATTGCTTTGATAAAAGGCTGCATAATAAGCATTTAATTCTTGCCAAGACCACAGGCTGGTGGTGTGTGGTGGATGCACCAGAAAACCCCTATCTATTGGAGGAACAGTAAAGAGTGTCCCAGGAAGGAGGCAAGGGTGGTCCTGGGTGGGACTGCACTTCTGGTAGCTTCTCTCAAGCTGAACCTTTCGCAAGTGCGGGAGATGTGTCACATCCACATCACCACTCAGCCTTGCAGAGGCTCCTCCTTTCCCCATGGCAAGACCTGTCTCCTCTCTCATCTCTGGGAGGCCTATGGCCCCATA